ACTCCGAAAAGGTTTGCCCTCACTGTTTTCTGGACTTGTGGCTTCTTCAATCTTGAGCTGTGACCCTGGTGTTGTTGTAGCTGTTGACTTAGATGATCTCTTGATTGACGTCATTTTGGGCGTCAGCATCATGTCCTAAACTAACACACCGTGATTATACAGTACGTGTGAATGTTTGAAATGTTTACAATCAAAACTCTTCAATCATACTCACGTATATACGTAAATATCTAAACTTTAGATATTTGCGTGTCTGTTTAAAAGAATAGTTTACTGTTATTGAGATATAATTCATGACGTTAAAATAGAGCTTGATTTTAAGGGTTAGTGGTCAGTTGAGAAATTTGTTTTTAAGAGTCGCTAAAGTAAAGGTAAAAATAGCCTTTAAATATCTCTCTCTCTCTCTCTTGTCCTTAATAATTTAGCTGCCAATATAATATCATTAACACCATGTAAATATTTTCATTAATTATTTGCTATGTATAACAGATGGGATTACTTTTTAAATGCCATTACAAAGTACTGTTACACACCTATCAGAGAGCCTTATGATATCCTAGTTAGCTGTTGAATCCGCAAAAGTTGGTACGATAAATGTTCCTCGTACCTAAAAAAGTAAGAACGCACCTAAATGATTGATTTAATGTACACAATTAACGTCCTAATAACATCATCCTCATACTCTACCTTAACTTGACACTTTTTATTGTGCGTATTTACCCTTCTCTACTTTATCAGCTTGCTTACCTATATACTCTCAGTAAGAAACTGTTGAGAGAAAAGGTTATGGCAGAGCAGATTTGGGATGCGATGTTATATTTCCATTCACTAGGAATATTCATCGTGCATTCCTCTTTAGTGGCGTCGTCAAGGAAAGGAAGAGCTGTGGCCAAATTTCTGAGTCTTAAAACTGTTGCAAATATGTTTTTAATTTTTGACAACTAAGTAATATTGAATTGATTAATGAATTTACATATATGCTACTTAAAGTATTTTATATTTTCATACAACTGTTGTATCGCAATAAAGTATTCGGATGATAAGCTTTTACTGTTTTATACTTGACCTTAAACTTATTTAAACATTGAAAGGACGTCTGGTAGCAAATGAGATATTGATTACAGAATATAAACTGTCTTGGGCGATTGATACGAAGTATAAATAATAGAATGATTAGCTTCCTCACTTGTTGTGTCTATAGCGGTAGTGTTTTCACTACGTCCAGGGGTCACTGGAGGCCAAGGTACGTATGTACACTCGGAAACCATATTCTCTAGCTTACCTGGGTCGGTGCTGGAGGTTAGTACAGTGTCCTTTCTGGACGGGGGCCCACTCTAACTATCACGAGGCAACACACGCACGAACACACACAGTCATAGTACGGCTGTATAGATGACATTATGTGTAAATATTGTATATGGCATTTTATACTCTGCATTATCTCCATTATATATGAACACGAAGAAAAATTACCATAGGTTGTAGTTACGAAAGTATGAATGGAAATAAACACTTCCAAACCACCCAGTGAGTCTGTGGGGTTCAGGTTGTTTGGTTCACACTCAGGATGGGATGGAGAAAGGAAACTCACGATGTGCTCTCTGTATACATGTTGTATTGGATGTACAATGCAGCTTGGTGCTGGGAAGGCAGCATGGTTACAAGCGTGATGTAGAGAGAGCTGGTTGGTGAGGACGCTCAGAGAAGGACAGCTTGTGGGTCGCCATGCTCGCCAGCGGGAGAGAGGACCGCCAGGCAGCGGCGGAGGAGGTGTTGCTAGCTGGTTGGTGGAGGTAGAAAGAGGCAGGTCACCACGAGGTCAGGTTTTAAATAGCGGGGGTAGGCGTGGCTTAGTAGTTGACCCCCGCTCCGTGATGTATGGCGGCGCTGGTTGACCTAGACCACGAGGCATACACTGGGGAATTGGTGGGGTCGGCTACTCAGCGACAAACAGCGTTTGTAAGGGAGAAATCCACTACAAGTCCACACAACCTTTACAGCGCTTGTGTGTGTGTGTGTGTGCCAGACCACGATGCTTCTCATCATTCACATAACTATATGAAAAATCGTGTTTAATTTAACTACATATTTCAAAAACCTTAAATTACATGTGGATCAGTCACTCCTCATTTGACACACTTATAGTGTAATACTTTGACCATCCCACCTGGGCACATGGAGGCCCACGGTAACTCTCACGGGGCAACATACGCACGAACACACAAGTTATGATATGAACCCTTCCAGGCTTCACTATCATTATGTTCATCGTGCTCTGTATCTTGGTAACTAGTCATAGTATCAATGCATTACAGTGTTATTAGTATAATATTGTAACTTTTTACCTACAGTTATTGTTGTAAATCATGGACAGGAAGGATACATAAATTGTAATATCAAGTGTATGGTTCGCTCAAAGCCACCCCAAGTCAGACAACGGTAGACTGCATGGAGTGTGTAAGAATATATAATAACCTGAGGCACTTTCAGCGGACCACATAGCCTAGCAGTATGTAAAGATTTTAAGGCTGGTTTTTTTTATATATAAATTAGCCTGCCGACGCCTTTCTTCTCTTTGAATTTGCTTGCCGTCATCACTTGGGTCATTACGGCGGCAGAACGCCTTAATTGTTGTTTTTGTTATAAGGTTATTACTGCGCTTCAACAACGAAGGTTTTTAAGCACGTAACAAGGTTAGTAATTACACTATTCTAACAACATTAAAAATTAGGAGAGATGAAACTGTGTACGAATGCCTTTTTGTTGTTATATTGTTATTACTGCAACAGCCATCTAAGGTCTTTAAGCGCGTAACAAAGTTAGTAATTGCACTATTCTAACAATATATATATATATATATATATATATATATATATATATATATATATATATATATATATATATATATATATATATATATATATATATAAGAAGCTGTTTTCCAATTGTTCAATTATTGGATAGCGTGGGTTGAGGGCTCGCACATAGGATATTTTTTTTAATATAGGTTATACGTTGATAATGGTAATTTTTCGCTTTTCAGTATGTAATTTTGATATTTATAATTACCCAAATGGGTGTCTAATTTTATTATCACTGCATACTTAAACAAATAAAAAGATTATTGATGTTCTGTGCCAATAAAATGAAGATTATAAATACAGTAGGTCGTAGTTTTTAATTATATATTAAGCAAAATAACAAAAGTAACAATATTTGTTCGTGGGCGTGCGAGCTGTGGCGGGGTAATCTAAGATAATCAGTCACACCCAAGACTATAGCGGAAATATTTGTGTCCTCGGGCCTCCCCAGGTAAAACCCGCTATGGGCCCACGTTAAGATAAGGGATAACTAAGGTACAGGTAGATAGATAGAGAGAGAGAGAGAGAGAGAGAGAGAGAGAGAGAGAGAGAGAGAGAGAGAGAGAGAGAGATTCCTTTAAATCACTATACAGGTTCACATTAGTTCAGTATGTAGATAAATACTGCAGGTATACGAAAGATAATAAATAATGGTTCAGTTAAGGAGAGCCCAAGAGAACCGTTAAAAGCTTGTTTACATTGGGTTCCTTATACTGTACTCTATATAAAGGAAGTTTGTTATGTCATGTTACTGCCGACAAAAAGATAACTCTTAAGTGAGATAACTTCTTGAGATAACACTAAGATCGGTTACCCAATTCATCCACCCACACCGAGGAATAGATTTTTTTTAATTGGTTACATACAAGGCGAAGAAGACCCTGGATGTAATAATATATTGTCTACACCGCCCGCAAATAAGGGATAATACTTCATTTCATAACTAAGAGGAAGTATTGCCCCGAGACAACCAAACAACAGGAAGTAAATAGCAGTTGAGGGTTAGCTGTCACTCTAACGGTTCACTGATGCTTCACGGAACTGCCTTAAGCATTTTGTTGATGGTTATTTATCTTAGTAATAATAGCATGAGCTTGTGTGTAGGTAATTAGTTATCTTGGTTGATATTATTCCTGTTTCCTTTTCAACTAACAATATCTACACAATTCCTAAATTAATAAAACTACCTGTCTATGAAACCTTGTGTGGATCATTCTAGGTAATTTTGCGTTACTTTATTTCTTATGTGCCCATTCTTTGGTATATTCCAGGGGGAGGGGTAAGGGATAATGATGTAAGCGTCGAAAATACTGCCATTGCCACATACAGTAATTACATAATGTAGTTTAATACAGACAGAGTTAATACGAATGGTTACTATTAATGGATGTAGGTGTAAACTATCGTGCGTGTGTGGTTAAAATGTCGTTTCATTATCTAGGTCGTACATTAAATCTGTATACAACAGTATGCTAAAAATCAGACCTCCATTTTTAGTACTTGAAAGAAGTAAAGAAAACGCTAATAACGATTCAAAACTTTCAAGTTAACAGTGCGAATATTTGTATATACTTCTTTATGTACGTGGACTTGTAGATCAGGCATAAACACCTGTTATTTTCGCGCCCTTGGTTTCATTATCTACCATAATTTGTTCAGTTATACGAAAGTCTGGGTTAATAGGGTCACCTTAATCTCACATAATATGGAAATGTCTGTTAACATTAGCTTGGATGAGTATATTTGTGAAACACGGTTTGTCTTGACAAATCCCTTTGAATCGTCAAAGTTGACCAATATGTATCAAATATTGTCCTTTAATTAATATATGTGTTTGGCGTGTGTAAAAATGTTATATTGTTTAAATAGGTCGCCTGAAAAAGTATTGAACTATAGGTAATTACATTTTCAGCAATCCCGTCTTCGAAATCCTATCGTTATTAATGAATATTATCGTACCCCATGGATGTAAATCTTCTTAATCAAATTTATAAATATAAAACAAAAACTGGAAAATTGGATAATATATTCATCCAGAAACAAGTTAAATTTACTATAAAAATTAGTTGGTATCTTTCTCTTTAAATTATTACAGTAACATTTCTTTGTGTGAGGGTGTAATAAGAGGAGTGAGTGTTGTCGTCCAGGACCCGGGCCGACGCATGCGCGGTGCTGGACGTTGGATTTAAAATTTTCGCCGCCGAGTGTTGAGAGGAACTTCCTGAATTGTCTTCGTTTATCGCATATTACAGTAACGATGGCTGATCCTTTTGTTCAGGTATGTTTTATTATGGTATTGTAAATGTAATTAGTCGTAAAATATTAATTGGTTTTGTTAATAGAGAATTAGAGGGTGTAAAGTGTAGTGTTGGGGTCCTCCTTCACATTACCATAAAGTTAATAATAATGTTATGTACACGACAAGTAAAAACTCAGAACTTTTATCAGTAAATATTATTCTGGTAGGATTATCAGTACTCTGTAGTTTTAAGAATTATTTTCATTTAAAAGAGGTGGTCCATTTTACGGTAAGGTTAGGTTAGGTTAGATATAGGTAAGGTTAGATTAGTTTGGATATCTAAGTACAGGGGAGACCTAAACATTAATTTTACCTTTTTTGTGTTTCACTTGGTATTTTGTGTGTCGAATTCCAATTTAACCTTTATTTACGTCGAAATGAATCTTTTGGTGTTATTACTCCCTCCCGCCATAGAACCAGACCCAGATTGCTAAGAGAGTTGTGCAATGAACTTGCTATGCCCCTGAAGATCATGTTCTGTAAATGCCTGGTTGAACAAAAGGTCTGTGATTGGAAAATGGCTTATGTGAGTCCTAACTTCAAGAAGGGCGAGCCTCACTCCACGAACAACTATAGACCGGTGAACCTGACCAGCATAGTATGTAAAGTACTTGAGAGCATTATAAGAGATGCCATGATGGAACATCTATGAAACAACCTTGTAAAGGATTGCTTACACAGTTTTATATTGGGGCGCTCCTGCTTAACACAATTACTCAAGGTACTGGATATTTGGACCCACATTCTGGAACAGGGTGGTAATATTGACGATAGATACCTAGATTTTGCCATGGCTTTTGACTGCCCCATGAAAGACTGAAAGTTAAACTGGAAGGGTACCTGATTCAGGAAAATGTCCTCGTGTGGATCGGAGACTTTCTACATGACTGCAAGAAGTGTGTGGTGATTAATGGCACGAAATCATCATGTGTACCCGTCACAAGCGGGGTACCACAGGGCAGTGGTTATCTCACTTCTTGCCACGAGTTGTTGCTATCCACACACCCCAACACCGAGATCCTCTGCCTAGGGGATTTCACAGAGTGGCTTGGCTCTGCAAGGGATGACCCAGGTGGAGCTGAAACACTCTTTTTCCTTAATTAATGATCTGGAACAAATAATGAAACACCCTACACCTGTTCCAGATCAACACGATCAACTTAATACTCCTGCTCCTTCTACTGAACCTTTGCACTTTCTTATAATCTCCACTTGTTGGGTTGCTGGTGTGTTATCCAGTTTGGATGTGAGTAAGGCGCATGGACCGGACTGAATACTCCCTCGTGTTCTGAGGGAGTGTGCTGAAGTTCTGGCCCCTATGCTTGCTCGCTTCTTTTGCCGTTGCCTCAAAGCCCAAACTTTTCATTCTTCTTGGAAGCATGCCTTGGTTCAGCCCATCCCGAAGAAGGGTGACCATTCTAATCCCTCTAACTATTGCCCTATTGCCCTAACTTCATCCCTCTGTAAGATTTTCGAAACTAGCTTAAACTCTCATTTTCTACGTCACCTTGAATGCCTTACTCTTTTGTCGGATTACCTTTATGGCTTTCACCAGGCGAGATCTACTGGGGATCTGCCTTCCTACTGCTCCCATCTTTGGTGATCCTCTTTCAGGGATTATGAGGAAACTTTCGTCGTGGCGCTTGACATCTCCAAAGCATTTGACAGGGTATGGCACAAGCCATTGCTTTCTAAATTTCCCTCTTATAGTTTCTCTCCCCAACTTTCTCTAATTTCTAGCTTCCTTGAGAACCGATCCATGGCAGTTGTTGTCGAGGGTTCGATCTCTCTCTTTCTCTACCAATAGTGGTGTCTGTCCCACAGGGTTCTGTTCTTTCACCTTCTCGCTTCCTTTTTATCAATGATTTACTTCACACTACAACTAATTCTATCCATTCTTACTCTGATGATTCTACTTTTTACTCTTCTTCACATTTTTCTCTTCCCCCAATTCTCAAACTAGATCTGTCTCTACAGCTGATATCGTTTTATCTATCAATGCGGATCTGTGCAGCATCTCCGAATGAGGAGGTAGAAACTTGATTAAATTCAATAGTAATAAAACAGTATTTATCAATTACATTTCAAAATAGAAGATCTCCCACCAATCATATTTCAGGATGCAATCATTCTGCTACATTCTAAAATAGATATGTTAGGCCTCACCATTTCCTCTAATATGTCACGGAAGCCACACATCCACAACGTTGCTAAAGCTGCCTCCCGAAAGCTGAGAATGCTGTACAAATGCCGTAGCTACTTCACTCCTGAGCAATAGCTTTAAGTTTATAAGGGATTCATTCGTCCTAACTTGGAGTACTGTTTCATATGTGGGGGGGGCTCTTCTGTCCATCTGTTAGATAGGGTGGAATCAAAGGCATTTCATCTTACTAATTCTCCTCTTTTAGTTGATAATCTCTTCCCTTTCTCTTCGCCGCACTGTTGCTTCACTCTCTCTTTTATAGGTATTTTAACGGGCAATGTTCGGTGGATGTAAAGGCCTGGGACTTTGGGATAGAAATCCCTTACCAGACCAATCAGGTTCTTAATAAAGGAAAGTCAAGGACCATGGTTTTCTGAGGAATAGCAAACAACCGTTTGAGATTGACATCTCTTTACTATAAAAAAATATAACAAAACTCTGACACCACTCAAACAATAAATAATTACTGGAGTCAAACAATTAATGGGCGTCAGCAATTAATGGATTCAAACAATTAAATGGAGTCAACAATTAATGGTGTTAATCAATTAAGGGAAGCAAACAGCCATAGAATCAAACAATGAACAGATATTTCCTACGGCAGTGGCCCTGGGGGAAGGTTCTGGAACACGGTGATGCACACTCAGGGTGGGGAAGCGTCCACTCAGCTCCACACTCGAGCGACAGCGGCCGATTGTCTTGAAATGGCAGGAGAACACTGGGGCACAGACGGAATGAGATGAATTGACGGTTATTGTATGTGGTAGTGGTAGATGACCAGAGAATTGACAGTCGATAGGTGAAGGTCTGGGGGGGACAGCCCACGAGTCCAGGACCTATGATGAGATCACAGCCAGAATTTGACGAACAGCGGGGTAGCTAGATAGTGACTGTATGGCGGCTGGGTTGAATCTGCCGGTGACCCAGATAGTCACTGCCGTTCTCACCTCTGTCCAACCGCCCCAAGTGTCGTCCGCACCAGCAAACGAGAGTGTTAGCAGCGGTAACGAGCAGGAAGATCGTTTCCGCCCTTACAGTGGATTTGGCATCCTGTGTACTGCCGGAAAAGCCGTGGGCTCATAACACTCGTCTTGCCCACGGTGCCCACCGTTTCTGTGTGGATGTCGGTCACACTAGAATAACCCAGTATTGTATAGTACATCCTTCTTTCGTCACACAGCCAAACTGTGCAATGCTCTGCCTCCTCCTGCGTTTCCATACTCTTACAGTCTGTCTCGCTTCAAAAAGCTGGTTTTCCGGCATCTTTGTGGTGTAGATTAATTTAGTCTTTCTCTTCTATTTTTTATTTCTTTTTACTCTTTATCTTTTTGCCCCCCAGGGCTTTGAAGATGAAGGATAATGTGGGGTTAACACACAAAACACCACCAAACAAACCTATAAAAACTTTCCTTACCTTGGAAAGTCCTAACACTATAAAAAGCTTACAGTACCTTATTTAACCAATGGCAGAGATAAAAGTGATTTTATACCTGCATTTATATTTTTTTGTGTTCAGTGTTTTTTCAGTGATGCTCTTTTTGTTTTTGATGTTTAAGTCACGAGGCAAATGAATGTCCAGTAAATTTTTTGGTGTTTCACTTGTTGCCATCCAAAGAATTTGAGAATTTTATAGTTCCGATCAATAGTTTAGATCAGTGGTTCTCAATCTTTTTCACTCCATTCCCCCCTTGAGGAATTTTCAACATCCTCGTGGCCTACCGTACTTCATTTTTCTCCCAGAACAGACAAACAGACAAGTGATAAAGACTAAAGAATGTTAGAGGACAGATAAATAGGACAAGAGTTAGAATGGCAAACGCACACACACATTCACATACATAACACGCCCATGCACTCACATAAAGCACACATAGTCATACACAAACATGCAAACGGGTAAACAGTAACACTCAAGCTAGCAAGCTGAAGTGTACTTTAAGCAAGAACACGCCTCCTTTGACAAGCACTGCCCAACTACGAAGAATGAGAAGAATAGTGAGTCATACCAATTAACACTAAAAATGGTAGGATTATGTAAGTAAAGAATGAGTATGAACATCAATGGCACCAATAAATAAGGAAATAATTAATAAAGGAAGTACAAATATTTCACCCACATAAAGCAGCGACCACATGAATTATGAAACAAAATAAGTAACACCAATTACGGAGTATATTATGCTTGAGTCAAGCTCAAACACAATATATGGTTCAGAGACAATACACTCCACTGTTTTCGTGATGGTATCCCAGGCCAGACTGAGATCCTTCGGTCCTATCACCACTTGCAAAGGGATGACACACGGACACGTACTGAACAAGTCAGTTCAGCAGCTCGGTCCAGCGCCTGTCACACAGACGGACTGGACCTGTGAAATCTTAAATAATCCGTAAAAAAAAAAAATGGCACCAGAGTATGTAAATATTAAAATTGTATTGTCGTTATGATTAAACAAAATGACCAAAAAAACTTAAAATTCTCTTCTGCCAAGTCAAAATAAATAATACAAGTTTTGTTTAATTCAGATTCCCAACATTATTTGGAAACGTACAATTATAACAGCTCGCCGTGGCTCCCCTAAATTCTTGCCATGGCCCCCAGGTTGAGAACCACTGGTTTAGACATTTTTAAGACACTTTTTCTTCTATAACGTTTCTATCTCAAACAATACACAGTAATATCTCTGTTAGCCGGAATCCCTTAAACCTGGAACTCTCCGATAGCCGGAATTGAATTTTACTTGGAAAATCGTAACCAAAGCCAGAATATTCCGGAAAATTCCGGCTTTGGGAATGCTTTTCCGAGGGTCACATTTTCTGGAAAATTCTTATAAAAATTTTCCTGGTACCTGGAAAATTCCGGGAATGGGGGAGTTTTTTCCGGGTTTGAGAGATGAAAATCAGGCGCATTTTCTGGAGAGAAACATCATTGAAGAGAAGTCTACTAGAATTGTTTAACTATTGATTGCAACCATAAAATTCTCAAAATTCTTCGGTTGGCAACAAGTGAAATTTTACCCCAATTTTTTGCATGTGTAAATCTCCCAAGGGATTTGAATTTCCTCCGATTGGTCAAAGTGGATCATGTAAAATTCAGATGCAAGAGATTTAAATATAAAATCCCACAACACTGTTTTTAGCGAATTTAAGATGTCAATATTGTATCCTGGTACTGTGTAGAACACGTTCATCAATTGTAAAAATGTTTTGTTGTATAGGAAACCAGGTTCACCAATTCAGTTTTTGCGGGGCCATCGCACGAATAAGATTAAATTTGGGGTAAAATCGGTAATGTAGGCTCGAAAGGTTAAATAGGGTTTAAAATTTTTTTTTTTTATTTATTTATTTTTTTAACCCCTCATTTTCCCTAATCTTCAAAGTGCTGCTCACTTTGGAAGTCATTGTCATTGACAGTGTTAAAGGAATAACATCTACATAAAGCCAGTTTTTTCTAAAAACAGTTTTTGTGATATATCTCGAATGCGACGATCAGCAATGCTACCTAGGTATGTTAATTCCTAGCCAATTCGCCAGGCCAACATACACGGAAATAAATATGATATGGTATTTGTTTACGAAAAGAAAAAACACTTCAGAGAAACCTCTTTTAGTCGTACAGTAAGTCCTTGTTTAATGTTACCCCCGACAACGTTGTTTCGTTATAACGTCGCTACTCGTTAGATACCCATGATTGTAAACAACGTCCTGCCGATTCGGTATAACGTCGTCACAGACTACAGTACTTTGTACGGTGCATCACCCTCTCACCCAGTCAGAGCGGGAGGAGGAGTCACCCTCCGGGTTTCAGTGACTCACCACCACCCTCCTCTCCCGCCCTCCTCCTCTCCACTGCCCACCACACACTCGCTCCACCTCCTCCCATGAGCGAGTACAATGCAAAATGATTAAGTTTATTTATCTTTTTGGATTTATAATATACAGTCTCTCCTCGACTTATTACAACCCGGACATGCGACGGCCATGGTCGTATAAAATATTTTTCACATTACGTATTTTCGAGTCCCGACGTTAGTGATTGCACTATGTACTGACAAAATTTTCCGGTTGTAATTCCCTTTAAAGTGGCCGGCAAACGTAAAAGTGAGAGTTCTCGTGGTGCTGAGAAGAAAAAGAGACCCTTTTTAGAATTTCTGTGTATTATATTCGCCTTTTTGACTTACGACTTGGTCGTTGGAACGGAACCCCGTCGTAAGTCGAGGAGAGACTGTAAACTATTTTCTAAAAAAAATCCATTGAATTTATGTATGAAATGTATTTTATGGAGCAAAGGGAGGCTGGGGAACGTAACTCCCGTATTTTATCTATTTCATATGGGGAAAATTGATTCTGGTACGTTTTTTTCCGTTAACGTCGCAGTTTTCAGGAATGGAACCACGACGTTAAGCGAGGACTTACTGTACCTGGGGTGGAGGTGATATGTTGTGGTAGGACAGGTACAGTAGAGGTGGAGGGAGACAGAGACAGACATTGACAATATTGAGGGACATACCTTTTAGTGTGATTGTGATGGCGTCTGTGTCGGTAGTGTTGTCATCAAGGGGGAGGTACAGAGGGAACATCCTTCTTGATGTAGATACGTAGTCTGCGTGCATGTCCTCGTGGTGGTCCATCGACACGGAGAACAGGAGTGGAGGGGCTCACAACACATGTGTAGGCATAGGTTTTGAGGGCAACAAACTTGTTTTGCAAGCCATTTAGGTTCCGGGTGAGTACCTGCAGTCCTGTAGTGGAGCTATACATTGTGGTGTATTTGACTGGTTACTGGCGAGCCGGCTGGGAACGTGTACCCCTGGTGTGGACGGATGGGTCCCAGGTGCCGGCATACTGGTGGGGGATGGGGAGCCGGGGGTGGTGTCCTCCAGGTCCAATAGGAGGCCCTGGTGGAGACAGCACAGAGACAGGAACAGGCGCATCTTGCAGTGAGTGGACAGGTTGAGGCACCACGTGTTGTGGTGATTAGGCAGGACGTGGCTCGGGAGCAGCAGAACACACCGGGGCGGGCCTGGTAGGCGCCACACCAGTAGTGATGGCCGGCGACGGTGGAGTAGGCAGTGAGTATGAGGGGCTCACAGGGGGGCTACCAGCTTGTCAAACCAGAAGAGGGGGGTGACTGGGTGGCAGCAGCGGGCAAGAGTAGTCGGTGTAGGTTGGAGATGGCGGTACAGTGTAACCAAGAGTTTTTCATCCTGGTTGGTAAATTCGTGGAAGAGGGATATGATCTGTGTTGTCACTGGAGAGGGGTTGTTGGGGGGGGGGCACCTGTGGGAGCACAAGGTCTGACAGCGTCAGAGTAGAGATGGGAAGGAGGCCCAGTAATAGTTGAGTTAGGAGATGTCTGGGACTGCTGTGTTGCAGCCAGGTGAGGCCAGGCAGGGGTAGATGATGCTCGAGACAGAGGAGGGGAAGCAGAGGGTGGCAGTCTGGTAGACGGGGGGGTTAGCGGCCTTTGGGGAGGCTTTTTCCCTGGGACAGGCGGACGTTTGGGGCATTGCCTTGAATCAGCATTGTTCCGGCCACCACAAATACAGCACCTGGGGTTAACAACATGGCCCACACTACCCCTGTTAAGGTGGTCTTTAATTTTCTGTGCACAGACCTCGGAGCGATGGTTACATGAACAGAAGCGACATCTGGGGCGATCACGTTGGCAGCAGGCGGTGAAGGTGCGACCCCAATGGGAACAGATAACACAAAAAGCAGACCCGGGGTGATGGGGTTCTGCATAAAGTGGAGGGAGGATTGGGTTGGCCTCAGCAGTGGTTGGGCACTCCCTTCCATTTAACTATGACAGCTGCTTGTCGGGTCTTCCCCAGGTAGTGCTGATATATACTAAGTATACGAGGATTAAAGTCACGAGCATCTTCGATAGTAGCGTATAGCGGGAACTGTTCAACTAGTATGAGGCAACATTCCTCTGCGTCCACTGGTGGGGGCTCCAGGACAAACATATATATATATATACTGTGTATATATATATATATATATATATATATATATATATATATATATATATATATATATATATATATATATATATATATATATATATATATATATATATATATATATATATTTCATGTAAATCCACAATGAAAATGTGGATAAGTTAAATCTATATGTCAGATTGTGTGTGCATGTAACTGAATGAAAAATATGAAGTGAGCTCTGTAAATATACCCAAAATTGCGAGTTGAGAAATAAACACGACATAAATCCTTCCTTAGCTTGGTAGGGAGAGTGCTGGGGGAGGGGTATGGCCACCCCAGTTGACTCGAGGGGACACGCGATTTGAGTTTTTGCCAGGATTCAAATGCATATAGTGGGGGAAGCTTTGTATCTCAAAATAGTGGTGTCAATTTAGTAAATTCGTTTAAGAGAATTTTCATAAATCACTTGTCCAAACTCAGGTCTCAAATGTTTTTTCTTAACTTTGTCGACCGCTGCATGGTTCATGTGTAGTGGTCTCCTTGTATTCCTGGAGGCACTGGGTTTGGTCTTGGGATATATTCATCGATCAAATGGTTCACCTTAATGGTTATGATATTCAGTGTAGTGTCTGTTCTTGTATCTTAGTGAATCAGGCCAGTGAATACCCTTCATCCTGCTGTAATTACCCTTGTAATACTGTATATGATCCTTGGTCTGCTTATGTCATGAACCAAGTAAGAGTTGAATCTGAAGGACAACGTTATGTGGTGACTGGTACTAACAGGGAACTAGGTGTTCCAGCTTGACCACCACACCCTCCTCGTTAGTTATGATGAGGTCCAATGGTTTGGGTGTTTGCTTCCCTCTGTACTGAGTTGGATCTTTAACATGTTTGGAATAGAAAATTGTCTCGAGTTTTTACAAAAAGAGTACTGTAGTATATTTTGTTGATTTATAATATATTGTATGTGTACAGTGGCATTTGCATGAATAAATACAGCTCTGTGTCTGTCTGCGAGATGTGTAGTTTAGACTCGGAAAACTTTCCAAATACCCGTACAGTGCCTGGAAAAATTGCAGGGATGTGATTTTTTCAAGATGAGAAAATTCGTCCCCATGCTCATAAATCTCTCACTTCCTGAACCGCTCTGCATCAATTATTTTGGCTAATGGAGATAACATTGTTACAGTAGTGTATGTCTGCACAATTACAGTATAATTATTTTGATAACTTGGGAAAATGCAGATTAATCATGTGCTCTGGCAAATAATTAGCCTTCCCTATGTTGGTTATTTATGAATGTATCATTTTGTCATTGTAATTTATTTAATTTTTTTTCATCTCAGAGGATGATGGCAAGAAGCCAAGCTCGTCGAGCAGGTATTGGAAAAACTGCAGGTAATCTGAACAACAAGGAGAACGCTAGTATTTCAGATGACACCCGCTCTCGGCTGAAGCAAATCAACTCAATATATTCAGGTCAGTAAAATGGATTAGTCTTTGAGGAGATTCAGAATTTAAGAATAGGTTATTTTCTACATAATTTAATAATAGTAATATTCTAGAATGGTTCCCTGACTTTAAAAATAACTTAGTAAAATCTTGACCAACACGAGGGAAGGAGGAGAATTTACTGAAGATGACATTTTATAAGTATCATTATCCCTTGCTTTTATATATATGTTCCAGTTTAGTGGAGACTAGAGTTATTCTCACCATTGCCACCTTCATGTTCCTGGCGTGATGTTTATTATACCGCCTGGTAACCTCTGTAACTAGTTGTGGAATGTCAGGTAATCCCATTTGCTAATCACCTTGTAACTCTTGTAGCTAGTTACTTTGTAGTTGTTTCACAGTACTTAATGTTTACACAAACACTAATCTGGCTTTTCTGTTTGTTTACCAAAGTATCTGCTGTATATGCTCAACTTATGGTTATTAATTAGAAATTGACCAATAGAAAGCAACCGTCCTTTTATGAGAATATAGGAGGTACCGGGTAATTTACAGAGCTCCTTTAACATGTCTGTTGCATGTGAGATACAGGGGTTAAGTCCACTGAGGGCTGGGCACTTGGTGATATCTGTGTAAAACAGAGGTGTGTGGAGGACATGGGAGTGTCATCCAACACATGAGGCATGCATAGTTGCTGTTTATATAGTTAATTTTGGTAGTGTAATTTATAAATCTGCTACATGCATGTAAATAGTCCACATATACTGTACTGTATATAAGAACTACTATCTTATGTTGACAGTCTGTTACACTTCAGTGAATGAAAATGGACCATCACTAAACAGTCTAACTTTACTAGGCACACATCAGAGTTTGGCATTAATGAGAAGTCCTTTCATGTAAAATCAGACAGCTCAGCAATATTTTTCATTTGCCAGATCAATGGGTGTCAGTGACTTACTTCCTGCTACTAGAAATTTCACTAATGTTTTCCTTGTTCTGCCAACGAATTTGCATTTAATGCAGGAAAATGTATTGGTTGGTATCTCAGTGAAGAAACACAGTTAACAACAAATAGCCATTCTAGAATATTGTACTGAATTGGTAAAGTTATACTACTGTACTGGAGACACCATAACATAAGTAGAGGTTAAATAAATAATGCCCCTAGTTTTAACTCTACAGCACCACAGTTCCTTAGTTTGTTCATGTAAGGTTTTGTTTAACACCTTCCATTATTCAATGTCCCTCAGGTCTTCTCTACAAATTCTGTAATGAGTGTCTGCAAATTAGAAGATTGTTTTCAAATGTCAAGAATTTTTTTTATTTGTGCAGCAAAAAGTTGGAGTGTGCTAGGACTACCAGTAGATATAAGTGCCATACCTACAGTATTCAGAAAGTAATGTATAAAGTACTGCATTATGTTATTGGTTGGGGCTGTGCATGAAATGTGAGTAAAAATAACACTGTGGTCATATTATAATGGCCTAGAGTGAAGATTGTTGCAGTTTAATTAACTCGGTGTACAGAATAATACATACTGTACAGTACAGTGCTTTGTTAAAGTGCCAGTCATTAGGAGAAGTTGAAAGTGAAATTAAAAACAGTTGAAGTGTTTGAAAAATTGATGATACAGTGTTCTGATAGTTTGAATGGAGATTGGTGATGGGAAGACAGTTGAATTTTTTATTTATTTAAAATTTTTCTTCAACAAAGCAACATTCAAGGTATCATGCAAACCATGGTGAGTTGGGAGAGGTTGAATGTGGTAACTGTTTCGGAATCAAGGGAAACTTAATTTAATGTATTTTGTTTTTTACCACAGATGACACAAAAGCTGCTGCTCCTCTGAGAATGAGTAATGGTGATCCTGCAGACTCAAGCAATGCCCTGCCTTCAGTGTCAACAAAAATTGATAAGAGTCCAAACAAAGTAAACTCAATGTGTGTAACAGACTTTGCACTGAGTGAGGGCTCACAGCTTAAGGTCACCTCAGCCACAGCTGTTGTGGATGAGGGCTCCACCTCTCCTCGCAAATCTCGTCTAAATGTTCTAGCTCGGAGGTGCCAGGAGATGAGGGAATGGGATGATGACTACGCTTATCATTCCAACAATCATGGCTCTCAGGTAGAAGTAGGGGGTAGCTCAGCCTTTGGTATGAATGGCTCATCCAAAAACTTAAATGTTTCTAAACTTAGTACAAAAATAACTCCACATAACTCTTCTGTGTTAAAAGTAGATGGCAGAACAGCTATAAAGACTAACGGTTCTTTAAGCCCACGTCACTCTCCAACTTCACTAAACATTGGAATTACTACTCCAAAGTATTATTTTGGTGAAGTACCTTCTAGTATGGATTGTAGTGACAGTGGTGGTAGTGAGTCTCCAGCTCTTTCTTCTAACATTAGCATGGCAACATCTTACAACACCCCTACCTCCTCTTCCTCCACCTCCTCCTACTCTTCTGCCCATCAGTTCATATATCCTTCAAAGTTGGAGATGCCAAGAAACAAGACAGCTTTGCATCAGACTGAGAGCCCTTCCTCACCCACAAAAAAGCTTGTCTGGGACCGAGGCATGCTTAATTCATTGGTAAGTGCATATCTGGCATTAATGCAATTAGAAATTACATGACAGATACACTTATTCATTAGTTGTAACTTCTTGGGTGAGGATACATTGCATGTTGCTTCAAATAACCTACTTTTTCTCAGCACCTTGCATGCTTAACACCTGATTAACTTTTTGCAGATATATTTTAATGACGATTTACAAGAAGAGTTGGTAAGTTTTTTTTTCATTGTCAGCTGTAGTTGTGGTGTGCTTAATTCACCAACATGCTGAATTTGTTATGAATTATGGTTTAATGACATACTGTACTGTATTTTGATGTGTGTGTGTGTGTGACTTGTTTGCGATACTTTCCTTTTATAGCACTTATGAACTACTCACACTGCCTTAATGTCTTCAGGAGGCTCAGGGTTTTACTCCTACCGATTCCCGATCGAGGCTCTACTATGACTTCAAGAGAGAACGTCAACAACAACAAAAACCACCCCGTGAATCTAGTCCAACCAAATCAACAATCCAAGCTGAGGAGAAAATCCAACCACCTGTAAGTCCTTCTAAGGTGAGAGGCATGAGTCTAGCAGAATTTGTTAGAAGTACCAGTCCAGATAAGATGAAAAGTACAACAAAAGCGAAACAAATTGCTAGCTCTAGTTTCTTGCCTTCATCACAACCATCTAATGCCAGCTTACTGCCACTACCTGCTACCAGCTTATCAACACCACCACCTGTTGCCAGCATACCACCACCGCCACCACCTGTTGCCAGCTTGCCGCCTCCAACCCCACCTAATGCCAGCTTACCGTCACAACCCCCTCCTCCGCCTGTTGTTGTGTCCTGTCTTCCTAAAAGTCCATGTGGGAGTCCTACCCGTCAGTTTACACGAGTACCCAGTCCTGAACCCCAACCTATAAAGGTAGGAAATTACTCTTACCGTATACAGGTATTTAAATTGTGATATGATGAACAAGTCTTTGGCCTGACATTCATTGCTGACTCTGCCTTCTTTCATTCCTACATTATTCACTTGTCTGCTGACTGCTTTCTTTCATTCCTGCATTATTCATGTGTCTGCTGACTGCTTTCTTTCATTCCTACATTATTCATGTGTCACTGCTGACCCTGCCTTCTTTCATTCCTACATTATTCACGTGTCTGCTGACTGCTTTCTTTCATTCCTACATTATTCACTTGTCTGCTGACTGCCTTCTTTCATTCCTACATTAAGTGTCTGCTGGACTGCTCTTTCTTTTCATTTACATTATTCATGTGTACTGCTGACTGCTTTCATTCCTACATTATTCATTTGTCTGCTGACTGCTTTCTTTCATTCCTACATTATTCATGTGTCATGTGTCTGCTGACTGCTTTCATTCCTACATTATTCATTTGTCTGCTGACTGCTTTCTTTCATTCCTACATTATTCATGTGTCTGCTGACTGCATTCTTTCATTCCTACATTATTCATGTGTCACTGCTGACCCTGCCTTCTTTCATTCCTACATTATTCATGTGTCTGGTGACTGCTTTCTTTCATTCCTACATTATTCACGTGTCTGCTGACTGCATTCTTTCATTCCTACATTATTCATGTGTCACTGCTGACTCTGCTTTCTTTCATTCCTACATGGGAGAAAGGTTTTCAACCTTGAAATATACACCTTAAATTTTACTTTTTTTCTCTACTTTCTGAAATTTGGTTACATTATTTGGTAAATGAACCGCCCACTACTGCCACCACAACAACTATTACTACAGTACTACTAAATAAAAAATATAACCATTTCATTTCGGTGATTCTCCAATACTGCATAGCATGTTCATTATTTTGTGGTCTACCTCTTGCAATTGCTGAAATAGAATTTCTTGTCTCTCTCACATGGGTGTGCTTCATATATCCATATCACCGAATTGAGCTTTATTTTATTTACTATTATTTTTTTTAATCACCTTTCCATAGACTTAGACAAAAAATTGTGGATTGAGAGTTAGTAGTAAAATGTTGATGAACCTTCTAAACTCAACACTATTTCTGTTATAAGGAACGTGCCCGAGACACCAGTCCATCTAAAGTTGGGGAAATGCGCAGCCGTTGGGAGCAGCACATCCGTCAGGCGTCTCCAGAACGGTCAGATCGTTCACGTAGCCCCAAGAAGTCGGTTCCACGGTGTGTGAGCCCCAAGAAGATTCCTGCTGTACATAGTGCTAGCCATATTAATAACACAAGCCCAAAGAAGAATGAAGGTCCCTCTACATCCCACAGTCCAGTGAGGAATTGTAGTCCTGTTCGCTCACGGAGTCCCCACAAGTAAGTGAGGGAAAAAGTTATGTCTACTAAAAACAACACACACACACATACACACACACGTTCACATACACACGCACGTACACACAAAAAAACCGGGAAATGTATAGTAAGTTGCTGATTTACGTTGTACAGCTACTCCTCGACATAGGACATACTCGGCCTACCACCACCTGCACATACGACCTGCCTCAGTCGGTACGACCACCCGCACATACGACGGCTGCAGTCGGTACAGGTTGACAATCCCTTATCCGAAATCCTTGGGGCCAGGGGCATTTCGGTTTTTGGAATTTTTTGGATTTCAGAATGGTTATTTTTTTTAATGTGTATTAGCTCACCCGGGCATAGATCACTGACCCACATCAGGGCCTGGGGAACGAAAATATAATAAAAATTATAATAATAATAATAATTCATAGGTCCAGGTAGTGTTTCTCACTTTTGATCATTTTTTCATTCTTGTACCTGTATTTCTTTATTATTATTAATATTTTGTTATTACAGTATTATTGTTATTATTATTAATTTTATTATATTTTATTATTATTATTACGCTGGCTATTACTGATGGTAAAGAAAAAAATGACTGATAGCCAACGTATGTACGCACTCACTCATGGAAACATTGAGGCGCTCAGCATTACATGGGGATAAAGCGCCACCCTAGGCAAAATTAGTTTTCTGATGGATATCACTATTTTCACCCTCACTCTACATGTTGGCATTGGATGTAACCCCCTAGGTAGATTAGAAGTATGGTTGAAAGTCTTTAAAAAATATGGTGTCATTTTGCCTCAGGCCGAGAACTATGTATCTGGCTGTGTGCTCAGTAAGTAAAGGTGGTCACATCCCGTTCAGAGTGAGAGGAGCGATTTCTAGATAGGGTAGAGAAAGACTTTGAACAGCACTTGATTGATTATGATGAGGCCATTAAACTTATACGCACTCCTCGGGATTTACGTAACTTCAACTCGCTACAATCGTCAGGGATAATAAAACGAAGGAACTAAACAAAGTTAGATTGTAATTCTATTATCATAATACTGTTTATACCCAAGGTTATGCAAATTTTCTCCTCCTTTGTATGTTAGTTACGTTGGGGGAGGGATGAGTGTAGTGGTGTTTCCTTATACCGAACAATACTATAAATCTTTGGTTAATAATAGGGACAGAAAGATAAATACTGATAGGAAAATGAGTTTTTTATTATTATTTATTTTTTGAGGGGGGTGGGGGGGTAAGACGAATGTTGTTTTTGGTGATCGTTAACTTGGTTTACAGTATTAGCCCACAATAATAATAAAATTTTGCAGAAAAACGCAACTACAGGGTATTGTTGGTTTGAAGATCAAACAACCATACATGATGGGTAGTTATTCTCATTCAACGTGTAATAACTATTCACAATACTAACTGGGAGAGGGATTGAGTTGCATGATAAAAAAAATTAACTCTCTAGCTTAAAAAACAACAAAGTTATGGTTGTTTGAACTTAGAAAAACTTTAAATGCGTTTTTCTCCACTTTTTAAATTTGGCGCTTCACCCCCTTGTAATGCGGAGCTCTTCATTTATCTTAAGAATACAGGTACTCCTCGACTTACGACCACCCGGACTTACGACCGCTGCAGTCGCATAAAATATTTTTCAAATTACGTATTTTCTAGTACCGACGTTAGTGATCGCGCTGCGTACTGACAAAATTTTCGTTTGTAATTCCCTTTAAAGCGGCTGGCAAGCGTAAAAGTGAGAGTTCTCGTGGTGCTGAGAAGAAAAAGAGACACCCATTTTATAATTTCTATGTATTTTCGACACGACCAATTCGACTTGTGACCTGGTCGTCGGTCCTTAACCCCGTCGTAAGTCGAGGACTGACTGTACAGTATGTGCAAAAGATTCATTATTGTTTAATACTGAATATCTGATTGAATTAATGTTTATGTAGCAAAATATACAATACAATTTAATAATACGTAGAATATTAAAACACACAAGAGGAGACGAGACTGCATTGTTTTCGTTTGTTTACACCCATGACGATGGATGGACAAATGAAAATGAAGAAAATGAGTCCCTGGTTATAGCTGTAGTAAAATTAATGTAAATTTTTTTTATAATTAATGTTATTTAATGTACAGTTGAAGTAACCACTGATGGTAAAGGAAAAAAGTGAGATGGATTGCGCAGGGCCATCATATGTACACACGCACAAGTGAAAACATAGCATCATTTCTCTCCATATGAATATGAAAGCAACACTTATTACTGTTCATGCTTATGAATGTCAAAAAAAAAATTCCACTCGCCAATGGTGGCAAAGTAAAAAAATTAAGGACAATCAATGTTGTGAATTTGTGAGGTGAGGTTGGGGTAATCTGTTGGTGTGTTTGTGTTCCAATTTTGCTCTTGTTCAAGTTGCATAAGTTCTTCATTTGTTAGGTCTTCTCTGTCACTGTTTAATAACTCCTGAACATTATCTTCATCAACTGAGCACTCTCTTAAATTTTTTCTTCATTCTTCCAGATAGTTTTCACTGTTGATTTTGCCATCCCCGAAGTGTATGAAATATCCACAGACCTCTCACCTTTTCCATATCGTTTTAACACATCTAGTTTCTTGACTAAGCTTATACAATTTCTTTTAGCTTTTAAACCATCACTCAAAGAATTAAAACAAAAAGAAGCGCAGATTTAACCCGAGAACTGCAGGACCTGGTTTCCTGTCCCAGCTTCGTGTGTGGCAAAACAGAATAAAAATACAGTAAAACCTTGATAAGTCAGACATCAGTATATCAGAATTTGCCTTTTTTGGACCCTGAGATCTCTGGTCACTAGAAATACTGGGGGGGGGGGTTAAATAAAAAAAAATCTTATGAAATGAACAACACTTACTGAATACTGTACAGTGGTCTAATCGGATTTGTTATAGGCCTACTGAGGACTAAGGCACTTAAGTATGTAAGCAGGTTGGGGCTGATCCGGTGTTGCCACATTTGACAGGTTTATTTATACCTGTATATTGATTCAGTATTATATTCTCCTATGATTGGCCTCTTATGGTTTATCATGATTAGTATAACATCTTCAGTAATAGAGAAAAAATACAATACTGTATGTAATTTGTAATATGACATAAATAAAAGGATAAGTTGTATCAGAAGGTTGTTTACTGAAGATGCGTTTGTGTAAGAGATTTAAGCAAATGACCAGCTTACAACAGAGGTCACTATAATGCACTGTATAGTACAGTATTTGATGTGAAGATACCTTCTTAAAAACATTATTTACTACCTTTGAGTTTATATGATGACTCAGTTTGGCTACTGTACACTTTGACAAATGATTAATTAATAAACCAGGGTATATGCAGACACAATACTTTACACTACAATGTATTACTTATTAAGTGGTGATAAATACACTGCAATAGTATTTATTAAGTGATGATAAATACACAACTGTACTGTGCCAATTTACTGGGTGTTGAAGACAGACATTGTGGTAAGTCAGTCAGCTGTTTGCTCTTTGTAAACAATGACTCGTGGTTTTCAGTGTGGGATTCTTTTTTTTCATGAAAGCTGATTCTTTTAGGATAATATTTTATCAACCTGGCACCAAATGATCCTAAATTATGAGAATTATGGTGGAATTGCATAAAGAAGTGTTAAAGAAATCTTGTGGGAGGGAGCCACCCACCCATGCTACCCCCATACCCTTCTGTCAGCTGCTCCCAGGTAAACATTCGTCTTCCACATAATATATAGTAGGGTCGAGATATATCGCGAGACAGGGTCCAATGATGTTCGCCATATACTAAATCGTGATATATAATTACCTGTACATGTAATCAATGGGGAAAATAGGGTTAGCTTCTGGAGGCCAATAAAAGTGACTGAACTTGACTTAACGAGTTTATTTTATGACTAACTAAAGCACCAATGAACACTATGCTCGGGATCACCACCCTAAGCCCGGGTGGGCTATTCCCCGAAATAAATTAAAAATAAAAGGAACGCCAGACTCGGCAGCTGACGTGCCATCCCGGGAACACCAGATTTGGCAGCAGACACCACACTGCCACCCTCACTTGACAATCGCACACCTACATAAACGAACAAACCAAAAATATTAGTTACAGTATTAAATCTTTTCCATTAAGCTTTCCATTTTCTTCACTTCACTTTTCACGACACTAGGAACCCATTTACACTCACCTTAGAAGTCGGAATCTGCAGCAGAGTCGGCTGCTGACTCGTCACTCGCGCCGCTCGACTCTCAGCCAGCCTCCTCCTGCTTTCATTAAATGTCTTCTTTGGCATCTTTTTCCAGTTTATTCCTGTCTCATCACAATTCCAGATTTGGTCTGGAGTATAGCCACCTTCCTCAACCACTTTTTTTCAAATCTATCTTCACTTTTTCCGCTGCAGCTGTGTCGGCTGATGCAGCTTCTGCTGACGGACACACGCAGCATAATTCAGCTCTCTTGATGAAGCTGTGAAGCCAGCCTTGGCTAGCTGTGAATTTGCATTCACTTCCTGGCTTAACTTCTCGCTGAAGCAGACGTATCTGTATTTCCATTGCCCCATTCTTTATCATTGGACCTGATATAGCAACTTTACGGCATTGTGTGTTTTCAAGAGCTGAATCAGAAAGGCTGTGCTGGCGAGCGTGAATGCATGAATGAGCAGCCACGGTGCCGCCTCTGGTGAGCAAATAACGCACTTGTTTGCCATGGCGGTACATTTGAAATATTTCCTGCCCGATTTCCTTCGCGAAATAGATTTATCGCTATATATTGGAAAATGTCAATAATTTTGGTAGTTGCGATATAAAAAAATCGCTATATATCAGCCCTACTGTACTCCTACACTTATTTGTTCTTTTTATCTTTGTAGTACTGTACAGTATACAGTTTTCTCTTTATTCCTAAGACAAATTCTGTTGTTACTTATATATAACACTTTACAGCAAATACCGGTAACAATAATCTCGGTGACAACAGT